ACATGGTATTTCTGAACCTAATACACTCCCCAAACACCAGCCTACTTTATACACTTTCTTATTCAAGCTATTATATTGGCCTTTGAGCAAATCACAACCTGCTAAAACAGAACAGTGTTTTTGGGTCAGTAGCACCACCTTTTAAATAGTTTACTACTTTCACCATTTAATTCAGGGTGGGTTGGAAGGGTCAAGTACACCATCAGGACACATACACCATCAGGATACTATAGCCCAAACTCCACCACCCAAGACAAAATCCTTAAAACTTGAAACGTCAGCAAGGTAATAAATACACCTTGGAGAGAAATCAATCCATGCAATACACGTTCTTAAAAGAAAAATTATTACAGTATCGTAGGGGCTGATGAGGAAAAGAGATGTTACGCCTCTGATGGGCGTTTTAGTCTTGCCAAAGGTACCTGCTTTATTGAGGAGTCTCAACTGTTTCATGAGGTCTGCCAAATGCAATATTGCACCCTCCTTCATTACTTCATGATTTTTAGGAAAATAGGCCCGAGATCACAATCACTGTTTGAAGTCATCAACAGGCAACAAGCAACTCATACTCTTCTGTCCACAGGGCACCAGCCAACAAGACCACCAGGCTAACCCAGAGAGATTAATGATCCTGATGAATAACTCCTTCTCTTAAAGCACAAGGGACACAAGCGGCATAACAGAGAGAATGTCAGTCTAGCTTTTAAAAGAACCTTCAGCGTTTCCTCTTCATGGATATAAACCAACACTGAATGACTATCAACCTTGGGTAAGAGGCAGCAGCACCAGTTACCTGATGGCTTGCACTGTGACATCAAACACAGTGTGACATCAGTCTTTTCTCTTTCCAGTATAGAGAGATATAAGAGAAAGAATAATAGTTGGACAAAACTGATCTTACAGTACAAGAAAACAAAGGAGAAACTTTTTCATTTTTTAACCCATGTTTTAAGTCTATGTTTTCAGTCTGTGTCTAGAAATCTGAGATCTGACTTCTGGAAAACACTAAGACAAGAAATATTGCTCCATTTGGTGTAAAACTTTGATAACAAGCCTCTCATTTAAGTATTTCTTTGACAAAGTTAGATACCAATGGAAAAAGAAAAAAAAGCTAAAGTGATATTCAGTTATTTATTTTTTTTTCTCCAAAAGAATCTAAGATTAAAGTGACCTCAGCTAAGGGTGACAGCATAATTAAGTCGTCCACAAGTTCCCCAGGTCCCATTCTTTAGTTATTAGGTCACTTTAGCAGAAAGAGCTCCATGCTTTTATTTAGAAGTCCATACAAAGAGTTGCAAGGCCAAAGTAAGAAGGATAGAAACTCTTAACCTTAATGTTCTGCCACAACGGAATGCCTTCTGGTGTAAAACACTTTCTGATCTGCTTTTTCTCTGAGAGCACTAAATTTTCAAGGATTCACCCAAAGAAGCCATTTCACTTTGAGCATGGTGCAACAGCTCCAGGGAGACACGGTAGCCAGCAAAAAGTTCCTGTTTGGGTTTTCGGGCATTTCTGGCATTTCTGCATGCTGCTGATATTTTGGTTGGCCAAGAGATAGAAGCTGATCATTTGATGAAAACACTGAATCTCTCAGTGGAAGCAGGGCGCAGCAATCACTACAGCAACTCTGAGAAAAGCAGAGTGAAGAAAGAGAGAAAACTGTACTTGAGCAACTAATGTTTTTAATGCCTTACTTCTGAATCTCAGTTAACAGAAGGACATCATAACGCTCCACTAAAAGAAATAACTGGTAACAAAAGAAGATCACACTAGGTTGGCTGTGTAAACAAGTGAGCCTCAACCTAATACGATAACTTGCCTCATCTTCTGTTAAAAGAAGAAGCCTCATTTTAGTGCCTCTTAAGGCATATAGTATTATAATCTCCTAGTAAAAAAACCAAAGGCCTACTGACATTTCTAACAAATTCTAATTTCTGGCATTTCACATGAGTAAAACTACCCTTTTGGAAACTAACCTTTCCAAGTTCATGAATTTCAAAGCAAAACTGAAGCTAGCATTTTCATTTACAATATGCAAAGGATAGGATCATATTTTAAAGCAGTATTTTTTCCACCTCATAGTTTTGCTTATTTGCAGGAGCAAGCAGAGAAGAAAGCTTTCAAAATTATAAATTATCCTGATTACAAAAGCTCTGCACCTTTTTGCATTGCAAGGCAGCCATAAAAATAACTCAGTTACTCCAAATAATGTATACAAAAAATACAGCAAAGCCAGAGCAGTGAAATTTACTCTTGCAACAAAGCCAATAAAAAACATGATATGAAAGCATGCATTTATGAGACATACTAGACAGAAAGCGTGAGCTATTGTAGAGAAATGGAATGGGACACTTACACAGTGGCTCTCTCCCAGGGGGTCCTGATGGTTACTATGTTCTTAAACCATCTAGACAGAATAGCAGGCTGGGCAGAAGGGAGCCACATACAATCCACCAGATGACAATGCTACACAGTGTAGACACCAGCATAGCTAGGAGCCATCTAAAAAAGGGGTTGGAGGAGGAGGAAAAGATGAACAAAAATTCAAAAGCAAAAGCTGTTGGTGCATTTTAGCTTGTTTCTAGTTCTTCAAAAGCATATTGCTCTATAACTGTTGCCAAGCATTTTCTTACTATGATTGTAACAATCCATGCAACTAGAAACTGCCAAACGTAGTATCCACGTGCTGCTGGAATCAAAGCAGATTTACTGAAATCCTCACTGAAGCACAGTCTACTCCAAACAAACTCTGTATCACACTTTTGAAAATAAGCGCACATGGGAGCAATATACCTCTGTCCACTTGCTGCCATCTCTTTTGAGTTTGATCCACCTGTATTCATAGATCCTACTTCACAACCATATGCTTTAATACTAAAACATTAGACGGATGCCAGATTAGTTTGCAGGAACAATTAATGTGAACACCCAGGTGATGGGGTATATTACCTTCCTGTGTTCCAAGTAGCAAAAGCTAATTCATAATCCTTTGCCAAAGGTGCAGAATATTGCTAATTAGAACATAATCAAAGTATCCATTCATCAAAGCATACAGCCAACTTCAATAAGCATTAACAAATGTTACACACAAATCCCTTGTGACTTAAACACAACCAATGCCTCTAGCTCTCAAAAACTGTAATTGTCCCAGCTTCTGTTGTTCTTACTTTGCTTTTTTTTTCCTCTTTTCTGTGAAATAAAACTGTGCGGAGGATTTAGAAGCTTATTTTTGTTTGCTTAGGTAAAATGCAAGATTAACTATTTTAACAGTATGATCTAAAAGAGGAAAAGGCTGACACCTCTTCTATTAGGGAAGACTACTGAATCATGTAGGTCAGCTAAATATTCCTAGCAATATTTTGTTTTAAAAATAAAAAAAAAAGAAGGTAAGAAGTTACATATTCATTTTTCACCAAGTTATCTCAGCATAAGCTGCAAACTGTACAAATAACTTCAGGGAACATGAGGAGCGAAATTCCACCTTGCCTGTGCCACAATGTACACCAGAAAAAACGCAACAAAACTATAAATCTAGATCGATTATTTTACTTCTACCAAAGTACAAGCTAAGTAGTTTTAACTACAGCAATCATGTTGCAAAATGCTTCATGAATAATATTTTAAAAGTTTTTTTGCACATTACAACTATGTCTCTGAATACATTACCATACAGTCTACATTCATTCTATGTAACATAAAATGAATGAGATCATTCAAAACCTTTATTACAGGACTTAAACTATCTATTATGAAAAAAATTATGAACTGAAAACTAAGGCACTATGTGCCTTATAAATTAATGTGCAAGGTTTTTTACTGTGTTATTTGAGGTAACTGAAGTGATACATTTTTAGTGGGGTTTTTTAATGTCAGCTGGGTACACCTTTGTTCTGAAACTGTCGTTTCTTTTATCCTTATCTGTGTAAACGATGAGCATGAACAAAAGAGAATCTTTTAAAACAAAGACAGAATCCATACACAGCAATGCATGATGGCTTCCAAAGACATTCCCTTTACCTTCAGCACATTATTACTACATACATCTCACTTTTCTAAGTCTGATGACACTGTTTGGCCTTACAAAAAAGAAAAATTTAAAAAAAAAAAAAAAAAAAGTGGAGCAGCTATAGCAACACCATCCACTACAGCAAGATGGCACAACAAAAGCCAAATTGCCTTTGGTCTGTGACCCTGCTGCTGCAAAGAACTCACAGACAGGGCTCACTCTCACAGAAAGGGATTCCTTTCCAAGCAATCAAATGAGATTGAAATATGTCCTGCAAGTCTTGCATTCTCTTGTAGTTTACTTAAGGGCAGACAGAGAGTTTTTCTACCTACAGTTACTACAAGCTACAACTGACGCAACGGTGACTATGAACTTCCTTTTACAGGTGGTGTTTCAGAACTTGTCTAAAATAAAGAGACCAGCATACCAAATGCCCTGACAGAAACGCACTCCTGAATTTTTTTACTGAAATAGTGCTACTCTCTGTTTTCCAGATCTACTACCAGCATTTACCTCAAAATCCACAGGATTAGGGGAAGTTCCTCTCCAAGGAAGAGGAAATTAAAGGAACATTTTTCTTTCAACTCTTCTTCCTAGGTAGCTGACTTTTCTTCAAAAAACAACACATATCTTACTTCAGCCCAATCAAACACCACCACATGGAGTCATATTGCTTCATTTTTGTACCATCGCAGGAAAGAGAAAGTTTGTGATTAAACTAAAAGTAAAGCATTAAGAAATACTACAGGAGCTTGTGAAGTACAGACTACTGGAATCAAAAACAACACAGAAAACTAGAAATTGAGTTATGCAGTTCTTTAACCAAGTTTTTCTACCTCTTCAGTGCTTGCCAAGCCTGCAGAGAAATGACGAATTTCATACTTATTTTAAATAAGTAAAAGCAGCCTTGGCAACAAACTTTTGAGTGCAAAGGGATGTATGCGTGAAGAAGATAAAAGTATTTCTGGCATTTATACATTCAGAAGAAACTGACTTACGTTAGCGGAGACGCAACTGAAGATTTTGCTTGCCTTCTACTTTTCAGAGCACGAAGCTTATCACCTTGTGTTACACAGTTTGTTTCATCTTCATCACTGTACTGGATAAGTGCAGGAGAGGAAGGGATAAACCAAGATTAAAACTTGAAGAATTAACCTTATCTTAAATCTCATGGTTAGAATTATCCCAACAGTAAAGTTTGCCAGCATAAAATCAAACAAAATTCACTTGCATAAATCTAATTCTGTTCTTTCCAGTGGAAACATATTATCGAATCTCTGCTTAGGTACAGTACAATCGTCAATCAAGTACAGCACTTCCCTTCTTCGCTTGCCTTTTTAAGACAACAGTATCATTCTTTAAAAGGCAGCATCAAAAGGTATTATAGAAGTTGCAATTACTTAGAAACCAAAAAGAGCAAAAAACCTTTAATCCCTTCCCTTTTAACACAGGCAATGAAGTAACAGACAATCCAAAACAAAATCACAGTGGTTTTGATTGCAAACCATGAGTACTTTATTTGTTCTAATATTTACCTAATTACTACGCACTGAAGTATAAAAAGGTACTCTGACTTCACCTGTACTACACTTCATTTTTCATACTTGCTGTCCACAACTTTTTCCCCTGCTCCCTCCCATCCCATGATATCCAAAGGACAAACAGGAAAAAGAATGTGAGGAACATAGTTTTAGTGTACCTACAGTTTTCTTCAGAACCTGAGAGATTCTCAATAGCAGTTACAACTTTTACAGGAGTACGATATTCAAATGGTTACCAGTTCAAGGTCCTTTTGGATAGTTCTTCTGTTTCTGGTGTCATTAATTGAAATATCGTCTACTCCTGACAGAATTCTTGTTACAGCAATTTTATGGTTTCCTTTCAACTTTGCACAGAAAATATCTCCTTCTGTCCAGAGTTCTGCCTGTTTGCTTTCATAACAGGAAAACAAAAGAAAAAGAGCCCAAACCATAACAAATTAACACATAATATTATTAAGCATACAATAAAAGAAGAAGGAAAAGATATCCAGATCTATTTCTGAAATAATTTATCATCAATCTGCTTACTCCATCAGGAAGTGTTGTTGTGGTCCAATCACCGAACCAGGTCTATTTATTCTAATCCAGGCAATAGCTTCAGCAGCTGTCATCCGATAATGCTTCATAATATAACAGGCAATAAGCGTGCCAGTTCGTCCAAGACCAGCTGTGTAAGATAAAAGAACAGCTTCCTTTATATACACATCTTCATCTGTAATCTGCTGTAACTACAGACATTTTTACTTGGACAGTTACTTGCCTAGTTTATCAAACAAACCTGTTACTTATCAAACTTGGTAAGCATAACTTAATGTTTTGAGTACTTTTTTCCACATGCAAGGTTACTAATACACTGCTCACATGTTTTTTGAGAAAGGTAACCTTCCAAAGCCAGTGACTTTACAAATATCTGCAAGTCTATCCATCTTGATTTACCTATCTATGAATATGTATATGAGAATGCTTTTATACATGGCATAAAACAGCTGGCTTTTTTTCCAAAATTCTCAAAGCACATTCTTACAAATTTAACACACATTGCACTGAAACCAGTTGCTCTTCCAAACTCCCCCCTAACTAACCTCTTGCTTCACTTCCCAAGGAAAACAGAAATTTTGCAATAAGCAAGGCAGGGTACTAGCCAACACAGGTAAAAAGCCCTCCCAAAAGAGAAACCTTTGCAAAGGCCCTCAAAACAGCTCTATTTATCTTGGGAAACATGAGAAGAAAAGGAAGACAGCTCCAGCTAACTGGCTCCTCTCCTTGGTCACTTGCTGTAAACGTCAAACCCCACATCATCTTCTCTCATTTAACAATCAACTGATCTACACCAGTGTAAAATTTTCAGTATAGCCCACCAGCCAAGACTACCAGACAGCACTTTCCATGTCTTGCTCAGCTTTAAGAACAGCTCCAGAATGCTACAGCTACAGCATTCTACTATTTCTCAAGAGTAAAAGCAGGCTGAAGAACGTAAGGTAGTCTAAACACCACTGGTAAGACAAATATCCAAGAATATCTTCACTTGCACGAAAACAAAGCACTTGTACCACTGATACTCAATATTCAGGTGCAATCAATTAAGCAATATGCCTCAGGGGAAAGTAAGAGTATGCACTTGTTTCCCAACAGTCAAGGTGCCATTTTTACCAATTCTTCCACTGAACAGTATGATCCTGATAAAAATGCAGCAAATGGATGACAGATCCAGAAACAAAAATGCAGTCTTTGCAGGTCTCAGGCAAATGCGGTAAGAAAAGGCCCTTCCCCTTCAATCACAGCATTATCAGGTATGCTACTGAGGCAAAGTTTGTGGAGAACAAACATCTGATAGTCTATTAAAGATGGTGTGGGAAAGGAAACAAAGTTCCTTTCGAACCACAAAAAACTGTATCATTATACCAGATGCATTGGGCATGCTCTGTGTATCTGTTCCTTGGCAGTCTAACTCTGGAAGAACAGACATGCAGAGCATGCCCAATGCATCTGGTATAAAGGATTGCTGAGGGGTACATATTTCTGTGGTTCTGGAAGAACCCTCATACTTTATGAGGAATCTCCTCAAAAAGCTGCACTGATATTTTTAAAAGTTTGTGGCTTCATATATTTAACCGTGTATTTCCAGAAAGACCTATAAACCTTGTCAGGACTTCAAAATCCTGCTCAAAAGCACCCTTTGAAGGTGCTAACACTTTTCAGTAGAAAGAGCTGTTAATACTGGCAAGCCCACTCTCACCAGTCTCATTCTTGGAAATAGCTGGGAAGGTTTTCTGAAACTTAAAAAAAATGGAAGATGAAGTGCCAAATGGATGCACAAAAACAATCTGTATGGAAAAGTTGCAGTTTGGCAGAGATGTTAATAAGCAGATGTAATGAAACTGTAGTGCAAAATACCTCAAGAACTGTAACTATAAGCATTACTTGTAATATAAATCATTTTTACACTATACCTTTGCAATGAACAGCTATAACACCTTCAGCATTTTCACAAATATTTAAAAATGTTTTAACTATGGTATCACTAGGTATGCTTCCATCAGCAAAGAAGAGGTCAAAATGCTCAAATCCAGCATCTGTAAACCGTTTGGCATCATAGAGTTTTTTGTTGAGGCGTATTATAGTGGTGACCTTATGTTTCCTGAAGTATGGGAAATAAGCCTCTGGCGCATGGTAGGGATAGCCTATATGAAAAAAAAGAAAGGAAAAAAAAAAGAGGAGAGTAAGGTTCAAACTGCAGAAATAAACCAAGACTCAAAAACAAGACATGAAAAATAGAACTCATGTTCAACATAAAGAAATAGACTAACCGAAAATGGAATTTTAACATAATCACCTAGGTCAGATACAACTGAACCAAGCAATAAACTTTACTGCCAGGGTTCTTATAAAAGAAAAAGAGCCAAGGAACAAACACACTGTTTGAGGAACAATTTTTAAAGCTTGTTCTTACTGATAACAATCAACTAAGAAAGCAGTGGGCTTGTGTCCCCCACCTCCTTTTTTAAGCATACCATTTTCAATTTTACTTCTTGAATGAGGTCCACTGAAGGCAATGAATTTGTTTGGTATTATCCAGTTAAAATCTCCATTTTCTGCTCTCTGTCAAGAGAAAATGCTTGGTTTATCATTATCCCTGTATTTTCAGGCTTTTCCTTATTGTTTCAAAATACATGCTAAATAGAAGTGGTGTACAATTTTTGCCAAAGGAAGTTATGCTAGTCACCTGCTTTCTGTTCCACTGGAAGCACACCAGGTGCTCTCAGCCTCACTTTCCTTGCCTGTGTTCTCCTCTTTCTAAATTAAGAGTTTTGGAAGAGCATAACTTCCAATCTTTAATTCTTCTAAGTTTCTAAATTATGACCTTGGCCTTACCAGTTTCACAATTTGAATCATGATTTTTTTTAGATATTAAGAACTCTTAATTTTCTCTTTACAGGTAACTGGCAGCTTTGCATTCCTGAGACTGCATACGGTCAAGAGTTGCAGTCCTTCATTGTCAACGCTCATTTCCCATGATCAAACGTAAATTGTATAGGCTTGGAGTTTCCCAGCCCTGTTTACTTCTTTTTCTCAGAGTGTTACTATATTTTTGCTGTGTGTTCACAGATACACACTTTACTCTCCATAATTAAGCTAGGCTTGGAGTTGTATGCCCTTGAGCTTCTAATCAAGACTGCTCAAGAATATGCATGACCTGTTCAAGATCGCCAAATTCTCACTCTAGTTCCCACTTTCCTGTCATCTTCCAGAGTTTTAATAATAATGGAAAAAAGCATTTATTTCCATTTTGGTTTCTCTCTCCCCCGCTACGTTTGGGACTGACTATGCTTACATCTGATTTTTAACATTCTCTCTCTGGCCACACACTTTTATTTAACTATCAAAGTTTGAAGGGACAAAACAGAAAAGGAACTTAATACTATAAAAAAAATAGCACGTATTATAAACAATGATCTTAGCATTAGTAAGAGCAAACAAATCAGAAGATTGATACTAAACACTTACTTCATAATGCTCATATTCATTTACATCAAATGTACTGAAATCCAGCAAACCATACTGCAAAGCCTAAAATTCAGAATACAGTTTTAATCAAAGACAATACTTTTCAATAAGGACAGTTTATCATTTTAGTTTAGTGAAAGCCCCCGAATACCTGTTCTACTCTTTCAGAAAGGTTTCTTCATATATTTAAAAAACACAGATCAACTCAGTCTTGATTCTAAATTGATTTGTAAATTTTAATATAAGTGAAGTTAAACAAGCAAATCCACTCTTTTCTGTTTTCATCGAGTCACTACCAAGTTCCAGACTACAGAAACATTCAGACTTTTTATTACTGCTAGATGTACAAAATTAAAAAGTGAAAACTAACTGGCAAAAATTATCTACTGAAATTACGTGTACCTTCTGGAATCTGCACTCAAGGACAAAAAAATATTTTTGTGCATGAATGCTATTTGCTCTCGTTACAATGATAGTATCTTCACTGATCTCAAATTGTTTGCAGGCACACAGTCCTAAGCAGACACTAGTGTGGTCCCTGACCTCCCGTAAATATTCACAACTATTGTATTTAATACTGTATAAAAAAAGAAAGCATCTGGGTAACTGGCAGTTTACCCACTTATTAAGCGAGAAAGCACAAACACAGATAAACCTCTGTCTCCATTTAAGGTACTACATTCTAATCTCCTCCTTCACTGTATAATCTTCCATACTCTTCCTTGCTGTTCTAAGATGAATAGCAATTCACCACTCTTGGCGTACAAGCAGCCAATGTCAAAACATCCAAAATCACTGAAAACAAATCTGTAAGAAGCTGTCTTAATCAGTAAAAACATCAGTATTTGGCAGAGATACCCAAGATACACAAGACCGTAGCTGAATGGAGAGCTGCAAAACTCCCCATTTCTCTACTCATACAGACTAAAAAGAATGCATAATTTCCCTGCCCTTCAGCATCACATTGCTTCTCGTCTGTATTGCTGTGAAACACTAGATTTTGATAATTTGTAGCGTTGTTGTTTTTTTTTTAAAAAAAGCACCTGTCTCTTAACATTTGTTCTATTTGTACTACTAAAGCAAAACATGAAGTCACTAGCACATGCTGCAAATGCCTAAAACATCACCAACCAATTCCAAACTACTTTCAAAGGCTACAGGCAGCCTAAAATTTAATGCCTATAATAAACCTATCACACAACTCTTGGGAGTTAGAGGTGTGAATTACTGTCCTGAACGATTATCTAACTAAAACTCAGAATTCCCTCTTCAAACACCTTACTAGTTGATTATATAAGGTACTGGTAGACTTCTATGGATGCTGCATGTGGAAGTTTTATTACAATGCATCATACATAATAAACTAGGCAACAACCAAAAAATATGCTATTGCACAGCTCTAATTACATCCTCGCTTCCTAAAGCTTCTTTTTCTTCTGGGCAATATTTAACTGACCTTTTGCAATAGAAACAATGTTGTTTACTGACCTTGTTTATTGCATGAAAACAGTCCAGCAACGTCAGATGAAAACTGCAAGTACCAAAGGAAGCATCCCTGTAAGATATGATCACCAAAACAGTAGAATTACTCCATTTTAAACCAAATGAAAGCAACTGGAGCTATATCTCTGAAACACCTCTAAAAAATTGCTTTAAGATAATTACTATTACAGTGAAATAATTATGTTGAATGATCACTTTATTTCTCCCACGTTGTATCTTACAATAATAACAAAATATAAAATAAATTTGTTAGCAGATGATCCAAGAGTAAGATTAAACCCATTATAGTTTTGGCAAAACTGACATGTTCAATTTCTGACATGAACATCGAAAGTGGCACGTTTCACTGTTTGTGTCAACAAGGAACTCTAACTCCCTTTGGCAAAAGCTAATGCCTAAATTAGCATCATATTTTAACACACACTCTTAGAATGTTTTCTTCAAACTCCATTTAAAAGAAGATGCACATATGCATTCTAGGTGTAAATGGACAGCATCTTAATAGAAGTGTCAAGATACACAGTTGTGCCATATATTAAAATACTTTCCTTAAGATGGAGAGTTTATGTTTGTACATGAGGAGAAACTGATTTTCATTAAGGTCCCTTCTTTCAACTACTTTTTTTTAATTATGTCGATCTAAGAATGGGATTTTCTTAGTATGTGACCATTATCAGATTTCAAAAGCACTACAGAGTAAGGATTCTACAGAATGCTACAGAATCACACAATCAGATATGTTGAGGCTAGAAAAGACCTCCGAGATCACCAAGTCCAGCCGAAGACCCAACACCACCACAGTGGCCAGACCACGGC